CTGGTTTGCTCACCCCAACTGTATCCACTCTGACAGAGACTAATGGTATCTCCAGAGAAGTGGCTAAGCTGCTAGTACTCAACTCCCTAGGTATTAGCATAACCCAGATGTGAAGGGTGGGGAGGAGATACACTGCTATAATTTTCCACTAGAACTCCTCACCCCTGATTTGTGTATTCCCCATTTTAACAAATCAGCCACTGATGCCTTTTTAATTATTGAACACGAACATTTGCTAATCAAGAAGGCAAAACAATAGTAAAAATATTATATCTTTTATTCAACAGAAGGCAAAAGTGAGGAAAATTTAAAAATAAAACCGTCCACCCATAAACCTGGTTGAAAGTCACCAGAACTCTCAGTGTCCATAGAGAGAGTGAGCATACACTTATAGCAACCTGTTAATACATGAATGAGAAAATCCATTTACACAGGGCATCTGGTGGCTTTTTATTACAGTCCTTAATGATATGGTCATTTTAAAGAAATAGTGTAGACCATGCTTTATTTGCTTCTCTTCTTTGTTTCTCTGTTCCAGGATGAAACTACTACTCTCTTCTACTACTGCTATTTCTCTGCTACTCTGTAGCTACTGAACTAATGCTAAATTATTTTAGTAAAGCATCTATTTATACTCTTTCACTGAAACAGAAACCCTGTGCCTGGGGTCTGCAGCTTTCTAGGTCTAATCTCTTGGATGGGTGCTGAACCAGTCTAAACCACTTCTGTGACAACCTTTCCAGCAACTCAGAGAACTTCGAAGTTTTCAGCTCTCTTGATGCTCTGAGACATTTTCTCCTCTCAAGTCAGGGAGGGAGGTAGAGGGCAATGCTTCAAGCCTTTGAGGGATTTCCCCTCTCAGGTTGGAGACAGGACTAACTCCATTGTAGCTCATCACCAGAGCAAGGGGATTCTGATTACCTTCAAATAGCTTCCTCAGCACCTGCAGGGCTTTACTTGCCTTAAAGAGTTCTCCAGCTCTAGATGGAAATAAAAAGCAGCAAGATCAGCTAACTCTTTATGTAGCAGGAGGGTTCTACATGCCTCAATGGGCTCCCAGCCTCTAGAGAGTCTTTAGGGCTTTAGTCTCTGGGCAGTGAGCAGTCCCCTGATAGTCCAGTCCCATGACATCAGTGACTGGTGGATTTTGGAAAAGTGTCTCCATCATGATTCTGAAACAGCATTATAGGATAACACTTACCCTCTCCTCCTCAGCTGCCCTTTAGATCCCTGTACAAGTTGGATCTAGGTTATCTTCCCATTTTTAATCATTAATTTTCCTCTTCACACACTCTCCATTCTAGTCCAACTGGACTGTTAGTTATTCACTGTATGGGACGCTCAGTGTTTCTGACACCATGACTTTCAGAAAGCAATTACTCTCCCTCCTCAACTCCTCTTTGTTGTTCCTTCTAAGCACAGATCATCTTTCCTCAGGTATGTGCTACATGAGGCATGATCCCTCTATGAATAACTTGAAGCACTCTCTCACTCTCTAGAAATTACTTTGCATAAGTTTATAAGTACATGATTTATTTACTTTCCTACAAATTGCAAGCTTAACCCAGTCAAATGAATGTTTCTTGAGAGCAAGGAATATTTTTGTGATGTCTTTGTATCTCTACCATCAAGGCACTGTTACCTTGAACGTAATAGAATGTTCATAAATGTATGTTAAATTGAATAAGATTTTATTTTAGGGAAAACTGAAATTAGGGTACTCAATCAAGGCCTCTGGTACATACTAGCACTTTGGGTAAGTCTTTTAGTCTCTCATTACCCTCACATAACTCATAATCCTCAAGGAGTTGATGAGCTATACTGGTAGAATGAGTTTCATCTCTGGGAGCACTCTATACCCTTAAATTCAAAGACAAAGAACAGAAAAAGAATGTCCTTAGAATGCTTTATTGTATACTAGACTATAAGCACCGCAAAGGAGAGCAAACATAAACATTTGAGTTTGGCCAGGGCCTAGAATTGTATTCTGCAAACAGTAGACACTAATGAGTGTTTACTGAATTTCTACAACTAGAAAGAAAGCTCCCAGATAATGACGAGAAATATTTCTTTGTTTGGGCACTCTTCCTACATTATCTAAGACAAGACTGCATGTATTTCAAGTGCTTCGTAGACAAGATTCAACACTTTTTAAAATGGTGAATTTAGTGTAATCCTTTCTGAGAAGTTAATTGCCTGACTGCTACAAGGACAAAAACATAGGAACTGTACTTTCTGGTCTTGGGACAGACATAGAGTTGATCTTAAAAAGCTGGCCAAACGTAACACTGGCTGTTGGTCTTGGAAATTTGTGTTTCAGAGTTGTCAAATTTTGGTTGTCAAAAAGTACTTACTCATCTGTCCTTGGAATCTTTGACTAGCAGTTACTCATTGGCTAGTGACTCTGAATAAGGTATACTTTGAAGGATTAGAATCCCCTTAGTGCCACATCATCAGGAACCCTGTCCCAGGATGAGATATAAAGGCAGTGACCAGAGGGCTAGAGTATTCATCAGAATCCTCAGATATTCAGGTGCTGCTGAAGCATCAAAGACAAACCCTTTAGAAGATGAAGATTCTGCTGCTGACTGTGGGGCTGGCCTTGGTCTGTGGCCTCCAGGTCCTCGATAACAATGCAGAAGACTCACCAAAGGTAAGTGAGCAAGAATGGGAACAGGTTGATAGAGTGGCCTGGCAAAGGTATAAGGGTAATGGGTAAGGAAAACAGAACATCTTTGGGTAGAACAAAGCAAAATAGAGCTTGCAGCTGAGAAGAAGAGATGTACATTTGTGCCTTCTCACTCAGAACTGTCCTTCCCAATATTTGTGTCATCTAGCAACGATTAAAGTCAGAAGAAAACATCAAATTACCTGTGAGTATGTGCCCATGACCTATTTATTTTAAATAAATAACTAGAATAAAAAATATCCTCAAAATTCTAATTCATCACAGTATAAACCCACAGAACAGATTCTGCATCTGACAAATGAAGGGTTACACTGGATGATCTCTAAGAGTTTTCTCTCTTTAAGATCCTGAAATCCTGAGATGCCATTCCTTCAAAAACAAAAACAAAAACAAAAACACTGCGGTTGAAACCTATCCTCTCTGCATCTGATTGCAATAGCACGTGACGGGATGAATCCAAGCAAGTCTTCTTTTCTGTGTCCTGCCATTTATAACAATTTTGCTGATGATATTCAGATGGTAACTTGAGGGCTGTTACTCTACACACATGCTAGGATTAGATGCCATATAAATTCTGTGATAAGGAGTTATCTCGTATCCAGGCAGAGTAGAGGGAAAGAGAATCCCCCAGGACCATAAGTGATTAGAGTCATAGAATGAACACAATTCATTCATAAGTATTAAGGGAGAATTAGTGTTAAAATACCAATAGGAATCTTGTGTGTTCCTATGGCAATCTCTCTCCCTAATCCCCAAATACTTGATGAAATTACTAGTCATACCTAAGTCCAAGATACAAAGTAAGAAGAGAAGAAAATAATGTTATCACTAGAAAATGCCATTAACCACTCAGTGCAAATATAATTAGAATCATTGGACAAATGAGCAAACCAGGACCCTGAAAGGTTAAATAACTTGCCAAAAGTCACAAAGTGAGTTAGTATCAGAGCCAGACCAGAACTTAAATTTCCTAACTCCTGGTCTCATGAACTTTTTGCTATATTATGAAGATAATGGGTGAGCCAGGTAGGATTGGTGTAAAGATATAATACACTTTTAAGGCCTCAGTTTCCTCACTTGTAAAAATGAGGGATTTGAACTATGGTCATTCCCAGCTTAAAAAGACTATGGGCCTATGTCACCACGGATGTCTTTTTTCAATTCTCATCTAAACTTTTTTCCACAGCTCAGTGGAAAGTGGTTCACTGTTGCATTGGCCTCAAATGTGACATCTAAGATTGAAGAAGGAGGTAGCTTGCAGATATTTGTCGAAAGTCTCAGAGAACATGATGGTTTTATTAGTGGAGACTTCTTCAAAAGGTAAGTGCTACCTGTGTTGATGGATATGGAAATGGCGACAAAACCTGGGTAATAGTTCTGGGATCCTTTAACCCACACAGGCTGAGCCCGGAGTTAATTAGTGATGAAGTTTCCAGGATGCGATTGGTTTTATGAACATTAACGGCAACTGTTCAAGGAAAAAATAAATTAATGGACTATACACATACTTGAAGCTTACATGCAGTTTGAGGGACAATACTTATTAAGAGTATTTTTAAGTGAAGTTTGGATCTTTTGAATTACCCTTTGGGGGAAATATCATTTCCTTTCTGTTCCAAACCTCCCTAAATCACCAGTCTCCATTTTGTAGTAGAGATGGGATAATGGAGGCCCATTCTACTAAGAAGACAGAAAGCAGAGTGAGAGAGAAGAAAGAAAGAAATATTCTCCAGTTGATGAGCATCAACTTGCTTACAATTCTTTCTTACTCCAAAAGTACCATCAATATTTTTCCCAATAAAGGGCCTTTCTTTTACTCATTGGCCTCCTTAAGATATATGGTTAGCCTTGGGATCTCTGGGTTAAAGAGAGTGGACATTTTAGTCCTTTCCTTAACATAATTTCAAATGATTTTACAAACCAATTGGACCAATTTGCAACTTGAACAACAATGCATTTGTTCTATCTTTGTCTAGCTATTATAACACTATTCCTATTTTTTTGTCATCTATGTCAATTTGCTGAGGAAGAAATAAATCCTCTGAGTTTTTTCAATTTGCATTTCTCATATAGTTGGTGGTTCAGAACATTCTTTCCTTTGGTTGTTAACAGTTTATAATTTTTTTCTGAAAATTTTTGTTATTACTTACAGTCAATTCATCTAGGTGCCTTGGTGGAGAGAGCACTGGGCCTGGAGTCAGGAAGACCTGAGTGCAAAATTGGCCTCAGAGGCTTACTAGCTGTGTGACTGTAGTCAAGTCATTTCACTTCTGTTTATCTCAGTTTCCTTATCTGTAAAATGAGAATAATAATAGCACCTACTTCTCATGGTTGTTATGGTGATCAAATGAGGTAATTTATGTAAAGTGCTCAGCACAGTATTTGGCACATAACATACATTTTATAAATGTTAGTTATTATTATTATTATATCCTTCAACTATTTTCCTATTGGGAAGAGGCTTGGGTCTTATATATTACTATTAGTTACCAATATGTTCTGAGTATCTTAAACTTAGGTGTATTTGATTTAAAGGTTTTTTTTTCTTCCCAATTGACTGTTTCATTTCTTATCCTAGTTATTTTATTTTTTTCAAGCAAAAACTTTTCAGTTTCAGGTAATAGAAAATTTCTTCTTAGGTATATTCATGAAAGGTGCTTAATATGATTTTCTGTATATTTTTATTACCATTAATATTCAATCATATATCTCTTTGTGTTATGGTAGAAATTTACAGTGTAACATTATCTTAAACCTAATCTCTGCTGGATCACTTTTTTCCCCCAGAAATTTTTGTCAGTTACAAAGTTCTTTTCTATCAATTTCAAGTTTTGGGGTTACCAAACTCTGATTCTTCCTTGTCTTGTCTTTTTTCCTGATCTAACGTTCTTTTTTTTTAATGAGTATGAAATAGTTTACATTATTTCAGTTATATTGATTAAATTGGGGCAATTGCTGTTTGTTCTCCTGAGATGTTGTGAATATAAATACAATAAAAAGTTCACATTTATATTTAGTTCTTTCAGTTTAAAGAAGTTATAAGCTTTCTCCACAATGAGCTTATGGAGTGAGACAGAACATTAATATCCCTATTTGGAGGTGAGAACTCTAACTCTCTGAAAGGTGATAAGACTTGCTTGCCCAGGGTTACACAGTTATGAGGAAGAAACAGCAATGGAACCCAGATCCAACTTCAGTTGACTTATGGAAAGCCCAGTGATTATTTCAAAGAGTTTTTATGCAGAACTACTAAAGAGCAAGCTCTTCTGTCTAATCAAGTATTGAATATCACCATTCTTCACCATATCAGAGATTCCAGATTTTTAAAGAATTCAAATTTAATTAAAAATATTGAACAACTTTTAAATGGTGACCTCAATTTAATCCTTTCTAAGAGGTTAGAAGTCACCTTAAATTCATCATTGTTTATAATATTATTGTAAGAAATGAAAAAAAGTTTACATTTTTGCAGATAAAATTAATGCATCAGGGTATTCCTTAGTAAAATTTCCTTTGTAAAAATGAAGTGTTCTTATAATCCTAATCTTTATTTCCAGGGAAAATGGTAAATGCATTCCATTGTCTCTGAAAACTTTCTTAGAAGATGGTCAAATGCGTGTGCAATGTAAGTATAAATTAACATCTCTATGTCTTTCAGTATTATTCTGAAATGAATTAATGGACCCTGTGATAAAAAAAAAGAAGTGGATAATGGTCAGAAACTATACAAAAAATGTCTTTTTGCAGATATCTCTTCCACTACCCTGTCTTAATTCCATCATGACTACACTGTGCAAAGCCTAGATCAGACTCTTTGATCTCCTCACTTCCTCCTTATAAAGCTCTAGAGGTCTGATTAGTCCTTATGTGATTGAAATGGAAAGTAACTCACTGTGT